AAACTTGGGTCTGAGTGCAGTATCAAAACTGATAAATTTGTGAAATTTTAACCATTTTACATTGAATATAGACCTGAGTTACCAGGATTGGGATGGAGAAACCTGATTATAATACAGATGTCTGCACAGGGAATTGTTCCTACACAGACAAATAGACCTTAGCATGTAGATTATCCATTGACTGTCCTTAAAGAAGAAGAAATATGAAATGTATTCCATAGGTAACAAACAACTTTTGAATCTTGACTTGTTCTCATTTTGGTTCTAAAATTAAAAGCTTGGTTCTGATATAGTAACATGCACCATGCAATTGTGGGAAACGACCAGGCTGAATCCAAGGGAGGGGTAAAATGCATCATCAGTCTTGAGTCTCTTCACGCCCATAAGAGCTCTAAGTCCAGCTCACCTTGAATTCCATCTACCGCCAATTTGCTTTGACCATTAGTAGTTCAGATTCTTGTCGAGAGCTTAAGCTTGCAATAAATCCATTTATTCATTTGAACTGCCTTGGTTTCCTGATTTGTGTGCAATACTATAATTAAAGCTGGTCCTTCCAGGCAAATACTATGGGTGAATACAGTGCTCTACAACTTCCTTTCTTTTTTTGATACTTTAAAACATGTCTAACTTTGGTAAAACACTATGATCTTTATATAATTTAATTTTATGAATTTAATTTTATTAAATTATGTCATACTTCATCTTTGTGCTGATTCTGCTCAATTCTTTGTTCTGGCATGGGCAGAAGACTCTCTTTCCTGGCACTTCTGGTGAAATGGCTAATTAAAACACAGAGGTTCTCTTTGATATCTTGTTTCTTTATATCATAGCTCAAAGTAGATTGTCTAGCTCAGTGTTTTACACACTTGGCAACTTTAAGATGTGTGAATTTTACTCCTCAGAATTCATCAGTCAAAGTTCTTTATGCTGACTGGGCAATTCTGGGGTTGAAGTCCATAAATCTAAAAGTGGCCTAGTTTGAAAAACACTGTTCTAGCTATTGGAAGCAAGGCAATCCCCATCAGTGGTGGGATTCAATTTTTTTTACTGCCAGTTCTGTGGGCATGGCTTGGTAGGTGTGGCATGGCTTGGTGGGCATGGTAGGGGAAGGATACTGTAAAATTTCCATTCCCACCCCACTCCAGAGGAAGGTTACTGCAAAATCCCCATTTCCTCCCGATCAGCTGGGACTCAGGAGGCAGAGAATAGATGGGGGGCAGGGCCACTCAGAAGTGGTATTTACCGGTTCTCCGAACTACTCAAAATTTCCACTACCAGTTCTCCAGAACTGGTGAGAACTTGCTGAATACCACCTCTGATCCCCATGAACCAAGTAGCCATGCTTTACACAAGCTTTTTCTGTAAGAACTTTTCTAATTTTATTTTAATAACAATCCTGTAAGGGAGGTTGGACTGAGAAAAACTGGCCTCAAATTGCCTTGTGAGCTTTGTAATCATGAAGGGACATAGACTTGGGTCTTCCCATTGCAGGGCAATGCAATGCATTGCACCAAATCATTGATCTAAATTGGTAGAATGATTGTCTATGGAGATTCTCAGTCATTCAAGTCATGGTTGTCTCAAAAGGTGCTTTTTCAAAAGGCAACTGGACTTTCTTTCTTTGTTTTGCTTGAAGACTTTTCACTTCTCATCCAAGAAGTTTCTTGAATAAGAAGCAAAATATCTGATAGACTGATTGTTCTTTTATATCATCCTAAAACAGACATGGCAAGGGACGCGGTAACTCAGTGGCTAAGATGCTGAGCTTGTCAATTGAAAGGTCGACAGTTTAGCGGTTCGAATCCCTAGTGCTGTGTAACGGGGTGAGCTCCCGTTACTTGTCCCAGCTTCTGCCAACCTAGCAGTTTGAAAGCACTTAAAAATGCAAGTGGAAAAATATGGACCATCTTTGGTGGGAAGGTAACAGTGTTCCGTGCGCCTTTGGTGTTTAGTCATGCCTGCCACATGACCACGGAGACGTCTTCGGACAACACTGGCTCTTCGGCTTTGAAACAGAGCTGAGCACCGCCCCCTAGAGTCGGGAATGACTAGCACATATGTGCGAGGGGAACCTTTACCTTTACCTAAAACAGACATTCTTTGTGTGGTGTACCATCTGTTAAAATGTTTTTAAAAATAAAGCTACATGAAGCAATAAAGAAACCAACTTAAAAAGCAGGATAACAAACTATGTTATTTCAGAATGGTTTTAGAACAGTGTTAGCAGTTCCATACTGGTCTCACTCCATGCCTGCATAATCCTTCAAGATAGTCCTGATGGAGACTTGGAGCAAAGAAAGGACTCACCACACGTAAGGAAAGCCTGTGTCTCTCCATGTTTAAATAATTAATTTTCTGATGCTTGAAAGCCAGAGTCCTTTTTTTTTTAGAACCTTTAGTTGAATACTTTAAAGAAGAAGAAGAGAAGCCTACCTTCCCCAAAGGGAAATGAGGGAACTGCTAATGGTAATAATGAGCTTTGTGTTTCCTGCAGCTGCCAGATCCCCTAGTAATTCAAGCATCACTCATTCCCCATTTGGCTCTGCAAATGAATCCTAACATAACAAAAAGATTTGTATAATTACAGCTGCATCTATTTCGGGGCCACCACAGATCTCCATTCAAAGAACAAGGAATTTTTGGTGTGGCATTTAAAATAATTAAAATATTTATTTGAAAGTCAAAACACCAGTAGCCATAAATAACAATCGCTTTTTCTCAATTGACTGTGCTAAGTCCCAGTGAAGGCGCCTGTGAGGAGCTTTACTTGTTCCCTGTTGGGATTAATCCATAAATGCAGCCTCCACATAGAACTCTTCAAGTCTTTGTTCCCCATTTATTGGTCTCTGGAATTAAATAGTGTAACCTGAGATCAAAATTAGGGTAATTTAAAAAAGAAAAAGAATAAAAGGGTTTAGGTAATCTAATTGGCTTTTCAGAATGTGAAATTCAGTTTCTAACAATATAAAATGTAGGATTTTTCTGTGATGACGTATTGCAAAAGAAAATCAGTTTTGCTGTATTTGCTTGTAGAGAAATCTATTATGACAGAAGCATTTATGAACTATTTATGATCTACTTCGAAGTTCATTGTTTTTTAATATAGTCTCAGAGATTGTACACATACTGCTTTAGAAAACTTGGTTGCATGGGGGGGGCAACTTCATAAACTGAGTGCAGAAGTTTAAACTTTAGATTATATGAACTATCTTGAATTTAAAGATGAAAAATTAACAAATATAGAGACAAATTAAAAACTGTATTGAAGGAAACTTTACCTCAGGAATACTTGGGTTTCTGTCAAAATCATATGCTTTTTTATGACATTTATGACATTTTCCCTTCCCACTCATGTTCTACTCTTGGGTGGAGAAACTCACGACAGCACAGCATTCTAGTCTTAAAGGGACTATCTGTAGACTAGTTTTTCTTAACCTGATTCATTTCCCATTATCACCCTGCAGTTTTTGGTCATGTTGTTTAGGGAATCATGGAAAATGAAGTTCAACACATAAGAAGTTAACCAAATTGGGAACACTATGCATTAAAAATTGGGGGAGTTTTCCCGGATTCCATCACATATATTAAGCTTGGATATTACAGAATTCCAGCCAACAAAAGAATGCCACATTCATTGGCAGCTCTCTATTTTTTAAGAAGAGCTTTCAATGTGATCATTTACAAGGGAAGTTGATGCATTCCTGTTTATTGGCTGGGGGGAAAGTAGAGGTTGCTATCTTCCAACTCCTATGTAGTACATGAACTTATCATATATTTATATTAGTACCATGTTTCCCGGGTTTTATATTAATTTTTTGCTCCAAAAGACGCATTAGGGCTTATTTTCTGGTTAGGTTTTATTTGGGAGAAATACGGTACTAAATGCACCATCTGGCTGACAATCTTAACTGGGGCTTATTTTGAGGGTAGGGCTTATATTACAAGCATCCTGAAAAATCATGCTAGGACTTATTTTCCGGTTGGGTCTTATTTTCGGGGAAACAGGGTACCACTTTATAAATCCTTAGTAAGACCATACCTGGAATACTGCATCTAGTTTTGGTCACCACGTTACAAAAAAAGATGCTGAGACTTTGGAAAAAGAACAAAGAAGGGCAACTAAAATGATTAAGGGCCTGGAGACAAATATATGAAGAACGGTTGCAGGAATTGGGTATGGCCAGATTAGAGAAAAGGACTAGAGGGTGACATGATAGCAGTATTCCAGTATTTGAGGGGCTGCCACAAAGAAGAGGGGATCAACTTATTTTCCAAAGGACCAGAAGGCAAGAAAAGAAACAATGGATGGAAACTAATCAAGGAGAGAAGCAACCTGGAATTAAGGAGAAACTTCCTAACATTGAGGAGAATTAATCAGTGGGACAGTTTGTCTTCAGAAGTAGTAATCACTGGAGGTTTTTAAGAAAAGACTGGGCAGCCACCTATCTGAAATAGTATACCATTGGTATAGGGTCTCCTGTTTGAGCAGGGGGTTTGACTAGAAGACCTCTAAGGTCCCTTTCAGTTCTATTCTGATTGATTGACTATCATAGAACTCAGTTATTGTATCTAATATTCTGTTTCTTTCCTCTAATTTAAAGCTAGAATGCTTTCTTGTTCCCCCACCCCCCCAGTTTAAAGCACTTAAGCCCAAGAAGTTGTAGATATGTAAAGTGATTCCCTTATTCACAGGTCAGTTGGCCATTTCTCTGTTTGGGTTTTAAAATACTGTGGATTTCAAGTTCTTTCTTCGTGCTCCCTTTGCAAGGAGATGTTTGTTGTACTTTAGTCTGTCTTGTGGACCCTGGAGTAATTTCATACCCTTCTGTAATAAAGCCCTTGGAGGCTATAATATACATATCCTATTATCCTACCCTATTTGAGCGTTGCAGATAATTGATGATGTTTTAGTTAATCATCTCCCCCACTACTTCTTTTGTTCACCAGGTATGTCAACCTGAAAGGGATCCTTTTCATTTAGAATGTGTGTCTTCTCCTAGGTAATTGATCACTGTGCAACCAGAACACCCGCTCCTCTTGATTCCAGCAGTGCAGGAGTGTACAACATGAATAATCAAAAAATGGTGAACTGTCTGTTGCAAGAATGCAAGCAAATGTTGGAGCAGCCCTCACTTATGGTGGAAGAACATCCCAAGGAAAGCAAGAATCAACTCTTCGGAGGTGAGATTATTATGTTAAGAATTAGATATAAGACAGCTGACCACCCGTGTTTATATGGTCCGTTGTGCTCCGTTCTCTTGCAGTGAAACTTCTAGAACCAAAACCGGATGCGGGTGTAGAGGCAGGCGGAGTAGAGGCCACATTATACCATTGAATTGCTGTCAGTTTCCATTTGAAGCTTCAGTAAACATAGGTTGTAAGGGGCAGTTTTCACTTGACAAAAACAATGTTTCCAAAGATTGGTGGTGCACATACATTTAAATTATTGAAAAAATAGTGATGAATCTCCTGAATGCTGCCTGTTACTGTTTTTTTTTCCATTTGTTGAAAATCATTCTCTGTTACAAACCTATTTGACAAATTTCCCTATTTTGGAATTCTTTAATTGCTTTTTCATTATATAAGTCATCCCAATATGTTAATAGAAACATTAAATCATTTTACAGTGCAAATTTATGCACTCGATCAAATGTAAGTCTATTTGAACTCAATGAATCTAAGGCAGGGAAACTTGCAAATGATTGATATTTGCAAGGTTTTCCAAACTCTGTGCATAATTTCTAATGACTAACAATGCATTGGATTATAAAATAGTCATCCAGATTTTCTGCCATATTCACTGCCATCATACCCTTTGTTCAAATTATTTCATATCAAATAGTTATGCTTGCTTTCTTATTCATTAAAACTCTCCAAACAATCACTATCTGTACCACAGTTTTTCTGTTTGTAACAGGTTTTGTAACAACCTTTTCTGACACAAAGATCAGAGGTTTCTCTCCACCTAGACTGATGCACCAGTAATACTTGCTATTTTGTAATAACTCATCCATGATAATTTAATTTACACTTGATACATTATTTTAATAAGATTGCTCTTCTTTACAGGTAGTTCCTCCTTTTGAAACCATAAGTGGAACCAGAATTTCCTTTGCTAAGCAAGGCAGTTATTAAGCAATACATGCACAATTTTACAATCTTTTTTTATCATGATTGTTAAGTAAACTTGTTAAATGAATCATGCAGTTGTTAAACAAATTGTTAAGCAAATCTAGTTTCCCCCATTGACTTTACTTATCGCAAGCCAGCTGGCAAGGTTGCAAATGGCAATCAAAAAACCGCAGAATGTCAGTACCATCATAACTACCTATTCTTTTTAATCACATGACTATAGGGATGCTTCAACAGTCATAAGTGCAAGGACTAGTTGTAAGCCACTTTTTTCAGTGCCATTGTAACTTTGAACAGTTGCTAAATGTAAGACGAGGACTACCTGTATCTAATGTCTATATCAGAGGTGGTATTCAGCAGGTTCTGGAGAACCAGTAGTTCTGGAAAACCAGTAGAGGAAATTTTGAGTAGTTCGGAGAACCGGTAAATACCACCTCTGGCTGTCAAAGCTGATCAGGAGGAAATGGGGATTTTGCAATAACCTTCCTCTGGAGTGGAGAGGGAATGGAGATTTTACAGTATCCTTCCCCTGCTATGCCCACCAAGCCACAACACGCCCACCAAGCCACGTCCACAGAACCGGTAGTAAAAAAATTTGAATCCCACCACTGGTCTATATCTAATATTTTTTGCTTTGGTGACTGTAGAAGTGCTGTGGACTGCATTCTGTGGGAGTGTAGATAGCCTCTTGAATTACAGTTCGTGAATTGCTGATGTATAGCTTTGATTATACAATAGTTCCTTATTGTGCACATTCATTTAAGAATATAGTTTAGCGGGTATAAATCTGTTTATGCCATAAGGGATACTTTTGCTTCCTTGTCACTATTTCCTCTCAGCTGTATTACCGTACTTCTTCTCAGATGGGCTGTGCAGCTTCTAATCAGGTGGCTTCTCCTTTGCTTCTTCCACTGTGAAATGCTGCAGATCTTGGTGAACAATCGGTTTAGTTCCAGATCTGCTGCATCAATGCCTTTATAATCACCTCATTAGACAGGGCCCTCCAGGTGAACTGCTTCAGGAAGTGAAGGATCTGAGACTCGGAGCTTCCTAGGATCGATTATCCTCAGCTGAGATAAGGGTGGAAAATCTGCCTGAACCAGTGAAATGGGACATATTGATAAATATCACAATGTGTGACAGAGATTATTGCTTTAGATTCTTAAGTGATTGAAGTTGTAGAAATACTAGACTTAAAATGCAGTTAATTGGGTCATGGCCTAATGTGATTTTCTGCATGATTAATTTAAAAATTTGTAGGTGTCCATTTTTATCCCTGGTGATAAAATGTGCATTATGACATCACAATGCTGTTTAGTACTTGTATTGCAAACTTCACAGGGAGGTAGTTAAGACCGAAGTTTACAACACAAAGCTATAACATGAATTTTTGGCAATTAATTCATAAAGCATGCATCATGGTTGTAAGATAACAGGAATGGTGCAGCCTGTTTTATTATGGTGGTTTGTGAATTCAAAACGAGCTGTTATTATTTTCTATGATGCTCAGATGAAGCAGAATTTAGGAGATGAAAGGGAAAAGAGAGGAAAAGATGATTTGGAAAGGAATGTTTCCAGTTTGTAAATCCCTAAGCCATTAAATAATTGTTGAAATTATTAACATCCAAATTCACCCTGAACATCTATTGTTGAATTGCAAATTCATTATTGCATATAATAAAACCACGATAAATAAAATTTTGAATATTTTTATATATGTTTTGCTTTGTCTTGCCTTGTAGCAACACTATCTTTCTTATTTTCCATGTTAGTTCCTTTTCTATAACTTCTTCATACACTTTTCATATTTTCCCATTGCATAAGCTGATCAACAAAGAATTCTAGTGAAGATTTTGTTTTAAAACTGATTCATTGATTAAGAAATAACATGGTTTAGCATGTATCTAAAGCTGGGTTTTCTGCTAGTTCAGTATCCTTACTACTATACATCTCTGGCTCTCCTTGAGATTCTATTTATCTATCACATATAATAGCTGCAGACTTATCTCTTATCCTAATTTAATATCAGAATATCATCTCATGAAAAGCTGCTTTTCACGAAGAGAACTTGGATTCATTATATAATTGGGCTGAGATGATAATTTTTCACAATATCTCCCACTTTCTTTTAAACAACTTTTTAGCAAGATAGAAAATATAATCGTTGCACTAACCCCATTTATAGAACAAGAATATTCAAACCTGGATCCAATCCATTATGATACTTGTCTGAGTTCTTAGCTTGGGATGCAAAATGTCAAACATAGTTAACAATTTTGTTGAGAATCAGTGTGGCGTAAAGGTTCAAGAAGTTGGACAAAGACTTTCAACCATGAAAATACACTGGGTGACTTTGAATCAGCCCAACCTACCTCACAGAATTGTTTTGCATGGTTAAAATGAACAGAGTATATGAGCTGCCTTGAACTTCTGAAGGGCATAAATATATCAGATAATAATGCAATGGTCCATATTTATTTTGTATGCATAATATTGAAAGGGAGAACAATCAAGCCGTTCATTTGTTGCTTTAACCCTTTATATCCAAATTCATGAATTTACTATAAGCATCCTATATCTTCCACTCCTTTCCAATTTATACTCTGTACTGATACTCATGAAATACCCAATCTTTCTCTCCCTGCAAAATTTCTTTCTTTAATGGCAGACAGCTCCAGTTTAGCTGCAGGGCAAAGGATGAGAGGTCACCTGATGACAGGTAGCCCCTCTCCCTGTTGGTCTGTTGCTGGAAGAAGTGGCAGCTTGTAGTTCCTTAGAGGCAATCTGGGGAAGGGAATGCTTTCAGCAAGAAAGGTATCACCTTGTAACCTTTGTGGCTGACTCACTTACCTGCCCTTTGACCCTTTCAGCTTCACTCCCTGAGGATTTGAGGACTCTCGTCGAAGAGGCCAAGGAAATGAAGTGGCCCTTTGTGCCAGAAAGGTGGCAATACAAACAAGCCATAGACCTTGAAGACAAAACAAATTTGCAAGATATGATCAATGCAAGGCTGCATGAGTTACTGGTATGACACCAAAGACACCTGTCCTTGAAACCTGCACTAGCTCTTAAATTTACAGTGACCCGACAGATGGTAGCTTCCTTGTTACACCGGTGACCCCCCACACACACCCATTTTTCACTGTTCCTTCTACCCCATGACAGTTGCTAGCCTGCTTCTATTCAAGTCAATAGTTAAATTGATTCCCGTTGTCATCAGAAGACATGGGGTCAGTGGTTTGATTTTGTTCACATATTGCAAGATATGTAACCTGATCTGTAGTTTAGTATGCATTTTCATGTAAGCACAGGGTTCATGCACAAAAGGACTTCCTGCAGCGAAGAGATTAAAGAAGCCACTCACTCAAGTGCATCAGGTATACTTTGGATTGTGCAAATGAAAAACACAAATTTAACATTTTATCTGTTAGCCTGATAAAGAATAGATAATATTATTCAGCCACATGAAGGTGAGCATAAAATGATAAAAAAATAAAAAATGTGACATTATGATTCTAGTTATCAAAGCAAATAACAAGTAGATAAATCTGGTCTGAAATAATAGTTCCATGATAGTTACTTACGGCACGGATTAAAATTTCTAGTATTTTCCCCTTGAGGTGAAAATTTTCATTCTAAATTTTACCTGTTAGATAAAGATTAACATTAGTGGGCTTGCCTAGCTTTATGTTGAGGGACAGCAAACTTGTTTTATTTGTTACATTATAATTATAATTTTGAAAAGGGTATTTCCATTTGAAAACTTTTTAGAAGCTTCCTTTCTTCTCAAAGCTACTAGGTGATGGGTAGCTGATTTTGAGTATTTGGGAAAACAAATTTGTATATTTCCTAATTTATTATTATTGTATTTTTAATCCCAGTATGCTTTTGGGTTACTTTGTCCTAGGGCTTGAGGATCAGATTTTACGATGCCAACAAGTCAGTGCAAAAGAAAGCAGATTTCATATTTCTTCTGCCTTACCCAAACTACAGTATTAGCTCTGAAAGATGAATTAAGCCTTCCCTTATAGAGGAAACATTTTATGCTGAATAATGAAATCAAATCTATTCAAAGGGCAACATGTGACTTAAAGTTGTGTGCATGTGCAATTAGCACCTGATAGGACCATTGACTGGACACTTTTCCTGCAATGGAAAAACAGCCACAATGGACAGCCATAGAAACCCAAAGAGGCAGTTGCTTTAAGGTGTCCCAGAAAATATTTCATATATACCCACTCAGGGTCCAAATGATGCTTTGTCTTTGAATCTGAATCACTTGAACAGTCCTAATATCCAAAATACATCAGGCACCACAAATTGCCTGGACCAATTCTCTAATGAAACAATTCCACTTGTGTCTTTACTACATTTTAGGCAAATGCATAGAGATAAGATATTCCTATTAGGCATGCTCTTTTAGATTCCAGAATATTTTATTTGGACCCTTCCCATCCAAGGGACCCAACTTCCTAATTGGCAGCTTTTTCTGCTAAATGTTGCCTATAAAATTGTTGCTAAAATTATTTGCATAGATATGAATTTCCAAGCTTTATCCATGGGATTGTGGGCCATTAACCAGAAAAATGTGTTAAATGTAAGACTCCAAGTGGGTTCAAATAGAATACTGAATGCATCATGCAGTGCTTGCCTGAGAGTTGTAATATTTAAAGTCCTATTGAATCAGTACTAAGTCATTCTCCTTCTCCCCCTCCATAAGCAAATGGGTTTAATTTGCGTGTGTGATGTAACTTACACGCCTTGACAGAGGAGGAGGGCTCAGTTGCTGTTTTACAAATTCCTGGCACTAAGTGGAGTTTTATTGTGATTCTGAATTTGTTTTGGCTATTTTCTACTTCTTCCCTTTCTCCCCTACCCCCTATCCCCCCCCCCCCTCCTTTTTTCTTTTTCTTTTAACTTTTCTTTTCCTTTCTGGTGTGTGGCCTTAGACAGAAATTTATGGTGGAGGCTGACCCTTTGACAATGCCCACAAAGCCCCTAGACTCAAAAGCATTTGTCTGCTCCCTCCTAGGAAAAACACCTGCAGTAAAACTCCTTGAGAAACCTGGATATATAGGAGATTAATGTGGCTGTAATAGCAAAGCCATGTTTGCACACATTATATTCTCACCCCAGGTAGACAAACCATTTCTGAGATGATACCAATTATTTATTGTTGAAACATCTGTTGATAACTGCAGCTGCCCCAGCAAAACAAAGCAGATCTTGGGGTTACAGGCTATAGGTCTCTTGGCCCCAGGTCATGCTAGTTGGAAACTATTCACTCAAGTGTCCCAAAGTTTGTGGGTTACCCATCATTTTCGTAGTTTCATCCTACCGTAAGAAGTTATTTCCAAATACTGTGCTCCTTTCCCTGTGGGCTTTGAAGTATTATTTCAGTTTCATTGGTAATTTATATTCCAGCACCATTGTAGTGCAGGAGAAAAGAGACACTTCTTTTTGTTTTCCTTTTAATCGTACTTTGACTGACATTTTGACCCATATTATTAGTATTAGTCAAGAAAGGCTTTTTCCTTTCCTACTTTGCTCCCCACCCCCAGCTTTTAAATAATCAAGGCATTATCAGATTTTCAATTGAATTCTATGTATTTTTTCAAAATTACAGCTTGACCGCTAAAAATGAATTTTTTACTGTTTTCACATGATTTGAGGAATTATTTTAATTCTCCCAGAAACACAAATAACCTTTTGTTGGTATTGTTGGAAAAAAAACAGTTAACATATTATGTCTGGGTTTATTCTAAAGTGGTGAGTTTAGAATAAGCTGTCGACCAGAATGAACCAGTGTTTGTAAATGCTCTGGGATCCTTGAATGAAGTGTTTATTATTCTGGAAGGCCAGATTTTGTGGTCCTTATTCACAGCATGCAGCATCTTACTTCTTGAGTAGCTTCCCTGATCTCAAAGTATCTCTGTGAGAGCACTTGGGTCTCCTGTCTGAAAATTTGACTTAGCTTTGCATTGTTACAAGCCAAGCTTTGTTTGCAGACCACTGCTTGGCTGAGTATGCAAAGTAATCAGGGCTGCTTACATCAGCCTTTTAAACAGTTCAGCTTGGCATTGGCTGCAGAATCCTATTGTATAAAACTAGCAGAATGAGAACGATCATAAAAGACACTGAGGAGCTGGCAGGGAGTGGAGAGAATCCCCATATTGTTGGTTTTTATCAAACTTCAAAAATTGGCAGAGTGAGATGTGTACCCTGCAATATATTTTTTTTCTCTTCATGATTTTCACTGTTGAACTTTTAGCTAGGAATTTGAAATGAAAAGAAGATATAGTAACCCTTAGCACATTTTGTCATGAATTCTTTAAGTAATTCTCATTCATTAATTTAAATTCAGATTAATGTATCTGATAATAAATGTTTGATTCAATAAAATGCAGAAAATATGGTCTCTCTGGACACTAAGAACACTTAATAGTTATTAAGGTTATTTGAATGGTTATTCAAAAAAAGCCCAAACATTTTGAATTTTAACTGCCAATTTAGAATTTCTTCAGCATTTACTTTTTACTCTTATTTGCTACAATTATTTATTTCAATTGTTTTTTTGAACTCTTTTCCCACCACCCCTACTTTTTGCCTGTTTTTCTACTTCAGGAGATAATATCCACCAGGGCTAGCATAATCATATTTTTATTTATTTGATAGGTTAGTAATTCTGCCTTTATCTCATGACCTTAAAATTATGTAAATATGGTTCCCTCTTCCAGTTCTTCCTATAACAATTCTGTTGTGTAGCTAGGTTGAAAACTAGTAGCTGCCCCATGTAACCCAATTAACGTCTGTTATTTAAGAAGAATTTGAACCTGATCTTTCTGAATTACGTCTAATGTCTCAACAATTGTGCTATACCTTGTCTCCATATTAGAAGGTAAAAATAGTTACAAAATGGGGGAAAGCTCCCTTCAAAGGATGGCCAAAAGAGACTTCATTGATGCCCCTATTTGGGAATCGAGATTTCTCATAGCCAAGTCTTGATTCTAGTTGAGTATTTTTTGATCACAAGATAGAGTTGCCAATAGCTCACTGAAATCAGCGTCATTCTTGATGCAGCTAAGCTACATGTACTGTTGTAGAATCTGCACACTTCTGAAAATAAGATTCCTGAGACATTCTAAAATATTTGGGATTTTCAATGTCATTAATTGAGATTCAAATTTATGTATTTCAAAATTTGCATTTAATGAGAAAGCATAACTTATAGAATTATAATGCAAAAACCAGCTTGCTCTTAATACTGTAAAGCTGTAAACTCCTAGAGGACTTGGTGATGGTGATTCAGTCTCTAAGGAGGAACTATTATGACATACAGAGTCAGAATCAGCAAAGGACTTTAGGAGACATTGGTTCTGTTTGTATTTGTAATATTGATAACAATAACCGGAGCAGGTGTTTCTGAAGAAGTAGGAGTTTTTCTGGCAAATGCTTGATGTTGTAGCATTGGCCTTGAGGCTAGAAATGAAACTATGAATCCCAGAAAACTGGGAAAACCTCCCAGTTTTCAAATCACTAAAATAATGTACTAGAATACAGGACATTCATCCTCTCTGAGCTTTTTAGAAAAAGCTCTTTGGGAAAACATTTTTTTCATCCCCAATCTGTGCATATATCCAAATGCAAACATTTTAATTACATATAGAATTCTGCAAAATCTAATTCCATTTTCACCTTCTTCAGTTCTCTAGCCATGAAGTTCCTTTTGTGCCCTAAATTCAATTACATACACACATTGAACAGATGTTCAAGCAGAGTGCATACTTATTCCTCTCTTTAGCCATGATGAATACAAAAACTTCCCCCCCGCCCATCCATCCTCTTTACACTGTATTTTTTAAAAGGTTGAGCTGTTTGCATTTACTGAATCAATGATTTCTACACTATATTTTGACAAAAATACTACAATTACAATTTTAAATTGATTTATTTGAAATTATACTATATGTACCAGTTGCTTTTTTAGGGGGAGGCAGCGGGACATATGTGTAGAATTGGAAACAAAACCAATAGCAAGATCAAAACTAGTTTTGCTTCAAAACTGACAAAGAAATTACTGAGATTATATAGTGAATGGAAGCATTCAAATACAGAAGCGCTAACACAACTATGTGATCTGGACGATATCATTGTAAAGGACAGTAGCTTGGTATCATTAACAGTACAAACTTATTTTGCCACAGCAGGTGGCAGCACCTGCCTGAACTTGGCAAAGCTGAACAGAGTCAGACCTGATTTATATTTAGATTAGAGACTACAAGAAATATCAAGGCTGTAAACTAGGCTGGGGATTTGAAAAATCATGGAAGAAGCCAATAAGAAACCACTTCTGTACTACTGCAAAGAAAATTTATGAACATAGACTCCAGGAGTTGAGCGTAAATTGTAAGATATTATCTTAATGCATTTTGAAAAACCTGTATCAGATCATTGCATGATGGCTTCAAAAGTCATAATAATTCTATGTGAAAGTCATATAAAAACCAGCTATTCTTAGCTTACATATTATGCATAAATGGAAGGAATAATATAAATCATTTATTTGATTATACTGATATAATGTATAAACATATACATTTCCAAATGATCATCATATTTTCCCTTTTTTCTATCAGTATATTTATACATAGTCATTATTTGATTGTAACACAAGAAATTACTTTTCTTTCAGTTACAATTACTGGTTTGCTTTCAAAATTATTAGATTATAGCTAGTTTTAATTATAACTAGGCAAAGTGAGAAAGTGAAAAATAAGTTTACAAAGATGGGTTGTTTTTCCTAAACACTATTAAATCCTATCCTAGTTTATTGACCAGATTACCTAAAAGGCGAGTCTTCAATCCCTTCATTAGCCTCATCAAGATGAGTTTCTTGATCTGTGTGAATAGAAACATTTGAACTAGGATACCATCCTTCCAGCTGCAACATCATGTTGTTGCATGATGATATAAAAAGAGAAGCTAGCTTTGTTATAACTCAGCATCTGTCAAAAAAGAAGATTCCAGAAGCACATAGATATTTTTAAAGAAATTATGGCAGACCAAGAATTTATTATAGGCTTTGAGTTCAACAGAATTGAATTGGACAGAATCCCCTGTGAGAAATAATTTTATTAGATCTCTGCCGATGATTTTGAGAGGAAGAAGTAAGTTGCTTTATTAGGCTTCAAGTATTGTTACTTTCTTCAATTGCTTCAGACTTGTGCCCAGAATTTGCCTGAATTTTTTTGCCTGAATGTTTAAATATTTTTTAGGGAGAAGAAGTCTGACATCTATACGTTTTACAGTTTTCTTGTGGACTAAATGCTGTTGTATGATTCCATGGGCAAAGAAAAAGTCAAATATTTTCTTAGCATATTGTTGAGAGAGACCAGAGAAGTGTTCTATAACATCAACAACTGATATCAAGCTAAATTTATCAGAGTGAAGTGCCACCTTACCTTCAAAGAAAGGAAAAATAAAATAGACAATATTCTTCCTCTGTCTTGACTTTGCCCTATTTTATGTCAACTTGATTTTGAAGAGGGTTACAAGAGGTTTCAGCATTAAAGCAGAGAGTTAAATTATGCAGCTGCCCAGCCTCCCAGAATAGGGAAACTTGGTATAGATTTTTTTCACAATGCTATTGAAGTGCTTATTTTCCTCCTGAAGAGACACAAACAGATGCAAACTTCTGTAAACACTTTAGAAATGAATTCAGTGAGTTTGGCCTCTCAGCGGTGCTCAATAGCTGACAGAAAAATGTCTAATTAGTGCAAGTGGAAATAATAGGGCCACTTGGATTCCTCCTACCCTTCTTCACATCTCCTTTTCCTAGGAACTCAAAGGCTCTTTTGTCTGGCAGGTCACCCTCTCCCATGCTTTTGTGTTTCAGTTTCTTAAAGGAAGGCAAGATGCAAAGGGGAAAAATATATTAGGCAATGAAGGCAATGCTTATACATATGGTAGATGCTGGAGCACTGTGAAGAATTTATACCTAGGCAGTATCAATTTACAGGTGCTTCAAGATGGGGAATTCCTCCCATAGTGGAAAGTATATGTTCCAGAAAAAGGGGAATCCTTTTCAATTGCCCCGTTTTATTTTACTGTCAAAAATTCTCAAAAAGAATCAGTTTTTTTATTGCCTAAATCAACTGAAGAGCAAACTTCAAAGTAATTAGCACCCTGATCTTGTGAGTAAACATATACTCTGCATTCCTGCTAATACCATGCAGGAAAATTTCCCTCACTATAGTGAAAGGAAGTCTGCTTTCAACATTTCTTTATAAGGAGAAGAGACATGTGGTGAAATTCTCATGACTGGAGAGAGTGTTCTCGCACTTATTTATTTATTTATTTTCTTAGATTTCTATGCCGCCCTTCTCCTGTAGGACTCGGGGCGGCTCACAGAATAAAAAACATATAACAATAAATAGAACTAAAAACATCCAAATGTAAAAACCCCAACAACTAAAATCTCATAACAGATCAGGGAATTTGCTGAAAAAGCCATGTCTTCAGTTTGGCGTGGAAAGCACGGAGGTCGGGGGCCGTCCGAAGCCCGGTGGGTAATTCATTCCAGAGGGTCGGTGCAGCCACCGAGAACGCCCTCATCCTGGGGGCCACCGGCCGACATTGTCTGGCCGATGGCACCCGGAGGAGGGCAGTCCTATGTGACCGCACTGGGCAGTGGGAGGCTGGTAGGAGGTGGTCTTGCAAGTACCCTGGGCCCATGCCATGTAGGGCTTTATAGGTCAAGACCAGCACCTTGAAGCGGATCCGAAGGGCCATCAGTAACCAGTGCAGCTCGCGCAGGAGAGGTGTTACACGGGAGTAACGGGAGGCTCCCGTAACAACCCGCCTGGCCGCATTCTGGACCATTCACTTACGTGAAGAGATGCTGTGCAGTTCTTAGTTCTGATTAAAATTTCTGTGATACATTCTCCACAATTTAAGCCCTGTTGATTTTAGTGAGAACCAAACTTAACTTTTTTAGCTGTAGATTAACTTAATACCTAGGTTCGCTTAAACTGTACAGGGGATTAGTTTAGCCTGTGGTGTGAATTCAGTTTCTATAGTTTGTCAACCATATTTTATATTTTTACATTATCTGTGAAGCCAGCAACAGTGGCTTAATCAACAAACTAAACTATTAGCAGCTTAGTACAACCTATATATTTGTTTACAGAATTAAGTTTCTCACCTAACTTCAGTTAACAAGCTGAATGAACCTGAAAAATATCACTGCACACAAACGTAAAATGTTACACTGCTATACCAAAAGTGTATACTATATTTTGTGAAGTCTTATTTAAGTCCTTTTCCACCTTTTCTATTTGTTTTCTGCATTGGATGAAATACATTCCAACTTTGCCTCAGGAGTTTCTGTAGCTCAAGGGAAGCATAAACATCTTTCAGAAAAATAAGTGAACAAATATTGCAGCTTGGTACCTTTTCTATCTCCTGATGAATGATGTTTTTTATGAATCGTCCCCTGCAAACAGTTTCCTAGAACAACTTGTTCCTATTTATATATTTTGGGTCCTCTTTTCAGGTTTGCTTAAAAACCTCCATTGCCAACAGAGACTATCTGACAGCAACAGCTATTGCATTTCTGGTTGACCGGTTTTTATATTGGGTTGATGGTTCCAGCCAGCTTCTTCAAATTGTCAAACGGCTGCATCAGCTTGAGCCTACGGTACCAATTGCCCCTCAGCTGGTTATCCGTCAGGCTCGCATCTCTGTGAATTCAGGTAATGAAATGCTGTCTGCAAGCCCCTTGACCCTTTCTCCATTTTCTTAGCCCAATTCCAATTAGAAGATACTTGACTTTCAAGAGGATACTTTGTCTCTTTTTAAAGGTGACATTTCTTTATGCCATGCACTTTGCCAACACAAAGTTTCTAATGGGGAAGAAAAACAGGAGAAAATTGTAAAAGAATGTGGAAAGCACTAATTAGAGCTTTTGTTGCCTAAAGGCTGCTCCCTGCCAATCGTCCTCAATCTTCCTCAGGCTCACAAAGAAACTTTTACCTCAGAAAAATATTACTAGCTTTTCAGGGCGCTTCTGGGCCCATAACCTGTCAGAGAATTGCACAGCAGGTGTCCAAATCAGAGACACTAACACAAATTTGTTTTATATAAATAAATATTTTATATCTCTCTCTATATATACATCAAATTAGATAGTCAGGCAAACAGGAGCATCATCAGGTAAATCGATACAGCAGGAACATCATGAGGTAAATTACAGAACACACAGGGGAAAAAAGGCGGGAAACAAGGAAACTCCCCCTCCATACCCACAGCAACCAATCACAGCACAGATTGCCTCACGCAGGAGCTAGCAATCTACAACCAATTGACCACAATTATGTGTTCTGGCTCGCTGCACGATCTCACTGCTCCAGCTACTAAATTTAAAAATCTTAACATAAATACTGAGTGCTAAATTGCTGTATTTTGGAACAAAAATGTCTTAAAATAGATTACACAGTTCTAATATTTTCTGAGTACAGTTCAAACTCCATATAAGGGGTTAAAAATCTGCAGATGCTCAAGGTTACAAATTCTATTGTATAATTAACCGGCTTATATAAACAGAGGAGTTTCCTTCGCTCTCAGCAAAGAACATAAATGGTATTGTTATACAGTAAGTAACTCAAGAACAATACCAAGTAACTCAAGACTGAAAACATACATAATATTCCTTCCTCCTTCTTCCTCCTCTTTTTTCCAACCACAAGAACACTATGAGGTGAGTTGGGTTGAGAGAAATGACTGATCAAGAGTCACCCAGCTGGCTTTTATGCCTAAGGGAAGACTAGAATTCCGTCTCCTATTTTCTAGGCCAGTACATCGCATTGGTTCTTTATTTTTGGAAAAGGATTATTGTAAAAAGAAAACAAAATCTGTTTTTGTTCAGCCGTTTGGTAAATGATCATGAAATTATAATCTTTTAATAACTGCATTTTAACACAATAGAAGCAGAAATATTAAGTTTTCTAGCATTCTACTGGCAAGTCTGAAAAGTAGATATGTCAACAAAACAGAGAGATGGGTCTCTGTTCATTCTTTTAATTCAGTGTTAGTCAAAGTAGCATATCGAAAGCATAAAACAAGGTTGTGCATTGTCTCATTGTTTAATATATTGTCTTCAATAGTGCTCACTCCCAAGTAAGTCGCAGCTTTAGCTAATAGGGTGAGACTGAGACCATACAGCATATCATCATTCTCTAACCAAGGCTGCTGCTTAGTCACAGCCTAATTTAAGGCGGGTCCTGATCATTACACTATGATTAGAAGACACTACAACCCAAGTTAACAAGTAGATCCCATATGTTTTTTTAAAAGAAAGCCTATAATTATGTCAAGCATGGTGAGAAATTATTACCACAAAGTTGATACATGTGTGTAATTGTATGTGAAGTAATGCAGCTGTCTGTATTCACCCTGGTGATCATTTCAACTAAAAGAACTTTACTCATGAAGTGAAATTGCCCTATCACGTTGATTATAACAAAAACATTTAATATTTCTAGGTAAATTATTGAAGGCTGAATATATTCTTAGCAGTCTTATTATTGACAATGGGGCAACAGGTAAATAAATTATGGTTTTTATACTTCTCTCCATTTTAATTGATAAATTCCAGTTATTGCTAGTTATGGCCTACACTGGAATATGCAAATAATTTTGGATATGTTTTCCTTAAGTTATAAATTAATTCGTTGGGAGTAAAACTATGTTTTAGTCTTTATTTCTTCAGTTTTTTATGTTTAACCTTGCATGTTACATCTATTGGGAACCAATTTTAACATATCCTCATTTTTTTTAATTGCTGTAGTTTGGCTCACTGAAGAACTGTAGTGTGTATTAGTAGGTAGATGTTAATGAGCATTTGTAGAAAGATATATAAGCAAATATTGTAATTATATTGAATGATAAATATAAGTCATTAAATAAAATATAAAATAATCATGTATTTATGTCTTTGAATGTTTCCCAGAGCTTAAGTTACAAAACAACTAGCTGTAAAACAAGAACTGTTAATTTCAACCAAGTGTTAAATTCTAGTCTTCCTATTATTATTCCTCATCTTTAAAGCTCTGAATGATATTTTACTGACCTTTTGGTTTTGATTTTTAGGAGTATGGAAGTACTGTAAAGAAAGTGATCGTATTCTTGTTCAATCTGTCTGTATACAGATCAGAGGACAGATTCTACAGAAACTGGGTAATAAATCTAAGAACCTCTATACTGTTCCAAAGCTACAAGTTTGGAATAGATTGCATTTAAAATGTTTTTAAAATGAACATTTGTTTATGTGTGTTGTATTTTAGGGATGTGGTATGAAGCAGCAGAGCTGATTTGGGCCTCAATTTTGGGTTATTTTACACTTCCCCAGCCAGATAAGAAGGTAATAAATGTATTTTTGACACCTTGAATATTTTCTATTCAGTCATACCCTTATTAGAAGCTCATATTAAAAATGGGCATATTGAACACTGATTGTATACATTCAAATGACTACAAAGAAGCAGACTGCTTCATAAAAAATGTTTATTTTGAAGAGGCAAAATTCCATGTTCTTTGAGGCCCTTGGTGCTTGAGCCATTGATATCTAAGGGATAATTTTGTCTCTCTTTTCTGATTTTAAAAAGTGAAATAGCTGTTGGAAGTTTTGAGACTCTGGTTTATATAGATGCATGTAACTAAGAAAGAAATAAGAGTTCCTAGAAGAATGTGGACACTTTGTCCTTTCTCTCATGGATTCAAGCACACAGGCAGGCATATATGCCACCACCACCACAAAAATATGACTCTACAGTTTATACCTTAAAGCACTTTAGTTTAAGATGAAAGAGAGTGATTAATTGAAGGCAAATTTAATTTTGAACAGGATCAGTGTGGAAAACTAATTAGAGGTAAATTAATTGAAGAGAAATTACTGATTTGGAATAATTGAAGAATGGCAGGTGATTTGGATGGGAAATTAATTGTGAAATTTAAATATTTCTTTATTTCTATATTTGCATCGGGATATGAGTTAGTTTATTAGTATTCTTCAGCTCTCTACTAATCTGGAAAAAATATTGATATATCTAATTAATCTTGAGTTGGTTCAGCAGCCATAAAATCTTTAAGTACCTAATATCACTGTTCTCTATTATTTACTGGTGTCTACAGAGTTCATCTTATTCAACTGCTTCATATTGTCCAGATTTATTGTAATCATGATCAGATCTGCTCACAAATAGAAGAATATAGATTGTTGCAAATCTGTTACAACAAAAAACTAAATTTTCTTGAAGTATATATCTTAATATTTCCTGACTGGTGAAAAACAACTGATTTTCCTTGTGCCACTAGAATTAGATAGCTAAAGAGCCTTAGATGGTGTTTTTTCTCTCTTTTGACATGTTTGAAGTAGGCTAAAATAGAAACAAACCGCAAATAAATATATATATAGTTGTTCATATGTGTGTTTTTTTTTAGGGAATAGCTACCTCACTGGGTATTTTGGCAGACATCTTTATATCCATGAGTGAAGATGATTACATCAGATTTAAAAACAATTCTCAGCTGGGCCTGGTAACTATTTATTTAGTAGAGATGAACCTGATTTAACTAAGTTTCATACATACATACTTTTTGGAGCAAACATTGTGCAGAGTACAGAAAAGGAATAAACAATATAAACCAAATGAATTAAAACAAGAAAAAAGAAAAGTAAATTTAGCTAAAACTAATTTTGTATCAACATAATTCATCATATTGCTTTATAGCTGTTTTTCCTTGCTAACCATTCTTGTTACTGCCACATTCATACCGTTCACATATATAGCCTTTTGTTCTTTCTCACCTTTCTTTTCAAGACTTTCATTAACTCCACCCAACGTTCCTCTCAACCCATTCACCTTTGTTTCATATATTTGTTTTGTGTTTGAAGCTCATCATTTTCATTGTTTGACCCATCTTTTTTTTTACATCATTTATTGATGTTTGCATTCAAGCCACATTTGTGCATCATCCATTCATTCACAACCACGCACTATATTGCTTGTTTCATCATACACACTTCCCATTGCCCCATGTCCAATTTCCTTTTATGTTTATTTGCATGTACCCAACTCTCCCTTTTGTACAACAAAGTAGGCAGGCTGTTACTATAGCTATTTTTCACTTATTTCGACCAACATTCTTTCCTTATAATCAACCACACAGTATCCACTCCTTTTCTACAAACATTTTCATCATTCAAAATCCATTAATTTTTTCATTTATTTTAAATGTTATGTAAAAAAACAAATACTTGCTCCAGTTATTACGAGTTATGTATACTTTGCAATTGATCCCTCCATTTTCTAATTCAAATGCAAGTACCATTAATATTTACTTATTGTTTATTTATTTTTTGATTCAATTTATATGCCGCCCTTCTCCGGAGACTCAAGGTGGCTTACAATGCGTTAAGCAATAGCCTTCATACTTTTGTATATACCTGCTTAGTAGGGCTTTCGCCCCCCCCCCCAAAGCGGTGTTCTTTTTATACAAAGTCAGCTTATTGCCCCCACAATCCGGGTCCTCATTTTATCTACCTCAGAAGGATGGAAGGCTGAGTCAACCTTGAGCCTGGTGAGATTTGAACTTGCAGTAATTGCAGGCAACTGGCAGCTAAGTGTTACTTAACAGCACTTTAGTCTGCTGTGCCACCAAGGCTCCTTATAAATTAATTTTCAAATCCATATTTCTAATTGCATCAGACGCACCTATATTATATTCACTGCAAGTTATTTGGGCTGTCAGGAACCCACATGTCATTATTACAGATACATTAATGTCTCATCCCATCCAACATACTATCAGCATTCCTTATTTATTTGACCAGAAATACATTAAGCAAATAAGATGATGTTACACACATTTGTATTACTCCAGTTCAATATTAAACCATTCTGTAAGAATTCCATTTATCATTACACATGTTTTATTGCTATCATATACTGCTTTTGGCACATTTAGCAATCTTTAGCTTCTTATTTATACAAAATAGTTTGTAATTCAAGCTTTTTTATCATACACTGTCTCTGAATTGGAGATGCAATTGAGTCTATGTCATATAAAATATGCATTTAAAACACTCAAAACAAGTATCTTTCAATGTCCATTTTCTTTTTGTTATTTTATTAGAACCTTCTTAAAGAATTCAATCATCGTTTGCTTTCAGCTGCCGAAGCTTGCAAGCTGGCGGCAGTCTTGAGTCAGTTCACACCATTGTTTGTGCTCACTGCAGTTGTAAGTACCATGTTCAGCATTCCTATTTTCTTCCAGTCTGAAAATTCTTTACAGTGGTCTTTGTCAACTACTGATATAATATGATCCTGCCTAGCTAATACTTGGGATTCAAGTTATAATGTAAATTTCTAGTGCAGATGAAAGGAATGAAATATAAAGCAGAACGTTAAACTGCACCCAGGGACAAGCTTTTTACTCTAAACAGTTATGAGTTATTCCTAAACAATTATTTACTATTGCCTGAATTAATATTTCAGTTCAGAAAGATAGATAAAAGCATGTTCCATTTATTTCACTGGCATTTACCATAGGATAAGTATAGTTATAAATGCAGCTTCTATTAGAATCCATATTTAGTTATCAATAAGTTGAAATTAAGCTTGCTTTACTTGATGCTGGAGTAGAAAATGTGGTTTCTTTCACAATTCCCATATGTAATTTATTTATTTATTTATTCATTCATTCATTCATTCATTGCATGTTTACACCACCAATCATACCTAAGTGACTCTGGGCAGCTTACAAGATTGGTTGAGTTAATTTGGATGTTTTGTATCTTTCATTTCTATGTTTTATATGTTTCTGTTGTAATTATGCCCATTCTTGTCTGAGTCTGATTACTTTCCTTTAATGTTTTTGAAGTGTTTTTACTGTATTTCTCTAAGCGCCCCCATTTTCTACAAAGATGAGCAGTGACTTAAAATGTTATGCTAAATAAATTTATGTTAAAATAAAACTAATAATAATATTTCACTAAATGTAGAAACTATAATCAACTGAAAATTAGTGAAAACAATTCTGATTACATGCTGGAATAGATTTTTAAACATATATATTGACATATGAATTTGACAAATCCTATTCATTCCCACTGTACTTATTTTTCAGAATATCCGGGGAATATGTTTGCTAACTTACAGCTGTTCAAGTGTATGTCCTCCAGAAAAGCGAGCATTTTATTTATCACAAGCAAAGGAGTCCTTTGAAATTGGTTTATTGAGCAAGAAGGACAAAGAACCAGTCACCAGCAAACAGGAGCTCCACAGTTTTATCAAAGCAGCTTTCTCCCTTGCCAAAGTACACCAGCGGCTGTATGGGGAAAGCAAGAGCCTTAATCAGGTGAATCAGTTGTGCCAGGAAGCTTTGGAGAAGCTTTGTGCTTACAGTTATTCACTTCAAAATGAAGAGCAGGAAAAAGAACTGCTTGCTAAAGACATCATGTCCCTGGTCATGTCAGTTAAAGAACAATTGCAAGTGCAAAATTTTCCTAATTCAGATGCCAAATCCTACATTCCCGATAGCTACAAAACGGATGTCAAAAAAGAAGTTCTGAATTGTGATTTGAGCTTTGAGGAGGTTCTCAGAATGTATTTTCAGCATCATGAATCAGTCTGTGATGTTTTTGAAAGTTCTTGCAGAAACCATAAAATTAGACCAGGAAAAGGGAAGGCAAGAGTCTGTATAACAACTTTGAAGACCGAAACCAGAAATATGGATACCATATGTGCCACTGAAGCAAATTCTCATTATGAAAATCACAGCGTAGCAATCCTAGTTTCACAGAAAGCAAGGAAAAGACATGATGGCCTTAAAGACCAAATGGGAAAGAAAATTTCTCACATTGTTACAAGGGGGGTTTCTCTTGATGATCAGACAGAAAGCGAAACTTCTGATAATCAAAACAAAGCTGGTGAGATTTCAGTGGATTCCCAAGGTGGGAATAAAGTCTTTAGTGAACTGGGAACTTGGAGCAAATTGTCCAGATCAAGCTCCAATACTAGTTGGGAAGAAATTGTCAATAATAAAAACGATCTACCCCAAGATAAGGTGCAGAAGACAAAGAACACTACAGAGTTGCCTGAAGATACTGAAAAGAAAATTCAAGAAAGTGATCTTTGTTTGTTAACTAATAAAATACATAAAATCATACTTCAACACTCTCAAAATGACACAGTTTCTTTAAAGCATCCCTTTCCAAAAAGCATACCTTTCACTAATACACCAAAAGAATTGGACCCAAATTTAAGAAAGAAACATATGGAGGCAGGAGTGGATGCTTCAAAACAATCATCCGGAAGAGCTAGTAGCAGCAACTCCAAACAAGATAAAGTAATGAGTGTTACATCTGAAAAAGATCTTTTTGGAATAATTTCTTCAGGGAAGATTTCCAGAACCAAGGACAGCAGCAATGTTGCTATTTCTAGTATTGGAAAAGGAAGCATCGAAGACAATGCAAACCATACACGAGATTCAGGCCCAATAAGTAGAAATCATTGGCAAATGGTTGACTTAGAAGGAGAAACAGAAGAGGGGACGGAAGATTCACTAATGAATCCAGATCTACCCAGTGAAAAGACAGTACCTGCTTCTATAAGAAACAATGTTTTAAAAGCTGAATGTGACCATTTTGTACAAAATTGGATTAATCAATCTGCCAATATGATGTTAACAGGAGGCTCTCCTAAAATATCTGAAGTTAAAACACAAGCAGAAGATGACTGGGAACTGGTTTCTGATGATAGAAGAGAGTTAACAGACCATTGTTCCAATGAAGGTCTAATAAAAGATCCACAAAATTACAGGACTGAGGCCCCAAGTTGTTCATTAGGTTGGGGCAACAAGCAAGTTTCAAATCATTCTAGTGATTGTGCTACAACTGAAGAAGATGAAGGTGAAAATATGAAAGGCATTTTAAACGGCTGCCACAGCTCAAGCTCTTGGAAATCATGGTACAAAGGACCCAGTTTTTCCAGTAGTTTTTCTGAACTGGGAAGTTCTCCCTTAATGAATTCTAGCGGAAGCTCTTTTTCCTTTATTAGCATGGTCAAAGAACAAATGCAACAAGCTCGTACTCTGAGCAATGATGATTATAACAAGCTATTTTCAGGTGTTGAACATGCTTGGCTAGTTGAGAGATTGAAGAATACAGGATTCTTTAAACCAAACCTCCTGCATAAAACACACTGTAAGTCACATTTTCTAAACCATTATCTTTGCTCCAGGAATTTTGATCCCAGTAAACCTATGCTATTTTCAGAGACAGAAGTTGATTGCATCCTGACACTTTCATACTGATTTATAAATGCGGACATTTGACTCATGGTAGGTTTACCAGCTCATCCACCCTAGTTGGGATTAGAAGCTCAGTAGGACCTGTTGCTATGGCCAGCAGATAGCACTGTGCATATTTTTTTAAATATTTACCACCAAATGTTGAGGGATAAATATCAATTATTGTCTAGCTTCATTCTGAATTTGTATTTCTTTTTTTTTTTTGCCCAATTTTTATCAATGCATGGATATCAAAATCCAGGATCTATACTGTACTACAACTGTCTGTAGCAGAGCAAATAGCTGCATATTATGTAAAACCAATCACATAATCATTTTGGGGGGAATGATGCAATTAATGCTATTCTCTCCATGCTACCACATAGAATGCCAGTAGTTCCAGGGGCTTCTCCATTCTTTTTGCTGGGTCCCCTTCCTCAAAGCTGCAGCTGACCACACATACAGAAGTTCTATGACTGCTGATGTCAGATGATTGTATGGAATCTTGTAGTCTATTGCTGGAAAGAGGGTAGTACAGTGAAGGACATGATACTCACCCTAGGGCTATGTTGAGGCTAATTAAACACACAAGCTTCATATCCTACCAATGCGAATTTCATGACCTAAATTTTTCCCCTTTTTAAATGGAAATTTTAAATTTGGTTTTAAATTATTGGGGTTTTAAATTTGTTCAGCCAAATTATTTAATTTGTTTTATTCTATTTTAAATTTTGTATTTTTATGTTTTATCCTATGGCTGTTCACCGCCCTGAGTCCTTCGGGAGTAGGGCGGTATACAAATTCAATAAAACAAACAAACATAAAACAAACAAAATGTTGATGTAAAATTGAATAAAATTTATTTTTCATTCAAAAATAAAGGAAAAGAAATGAGGCTACAGAAGTTAAGAAAAGATCAAGCTTTTGAATTCAGATCTTGTTTGATACAATTGTTTTTCTATGGATTTTGTATCATATTTATACTCTTAAATGTAAGATGTAAAGAAACTGTTAATGATTTAATGAGAGGCAGAATCTAAATACTGATATCCACATATTTCAGTTAAAGTTCTGTATCTGCTGCAGAATCATTTGTTTTGATTTTAGTGTTTTTGTGGTTATCGTATACAAAACAATATACTTCCTTTGGGAGCATGGCCATAGTTGTTTTTAAATCTGTAGTCATTGGCAAGATATTATTGAGAAATACCGTATTTTTCAGAGTATAAGCACATTTTTTTCCCTCCTAAAAGAGGCTGAAAATTTGGGTGTGTTTTATAATCTGAATGTAACCCCGTGCAGTGCCCAAAATGGCTACCCGGAACAGCTGCTGCCTTCTCTTACCCCTTCTGCATTTTGCCTGCTTTAGTCACTGGAGCTCCCTCCAAGGATCAGCTGTGCTTTTGAAGCTGTTTTTCAGCCCCATCTTCCCTGCTTTGCCTGCTTTTCTAATTGCTGCTCCCTCTGACAATCAGCTGTGCTAAAGCACAGCCCCAACCAGCCCAACTTAAAAACCAGCAAGCGAACTAATGTGCTGGGACTAGCCAGATGAATACCTGGTAGGCAGAATTTTTCCCCCTATTTTCCTCCCCAAAAACTAAGGCGCGTCTTATACTCCAGTGCATCTTATACTCAGAAAAATACGGGTATCTTCTCAGTCCAAAGCAATTCATCTTGTTTTGCTTCTCTGTGCACATATGAGACTGATAGCTCTATGCTGCAGTACAGATCAGGTTGTGAAAGCACATGTAATATACCATAGCTCTGTCACTTCATCCATTTTTTTTCTCTAGATGCTCTTCTTTTGAAATATTCTAAGATATCTGGGCTGTGGACAGCTCAGGAGACAGCTGCATATATTGGAGATAACCTGAGTGTGGCAAAGAAAGGCAAGCAGAGGAATGCTTTTTGGGTGCACTTTCTGCACCAAGAAGAAACCCTGGGAAGGTATGACTCAAGCTAACATACGATCTGGAAAAGTTCACACAAGTTCCATATTATGTTGCATTTGACTACATATAGGGCTCCTGGTAGCAGAAATTTACTTCAGCCTTTTATAAAGTGTTCCACCATTGCTGAGACTACATGTTATTTTAGCAGCCTAGGATAAGTGGCAAATACAACACAAACTCGAGCAGTCTGCCACTATTTGATTCCCACATCTGCTTCCTGAGATAACCTTTCCCAATCTGAGTACCCTCTAGATTATAGACTTCATTTTCAATTCCCAGAATTCCTCGGCAGTAGAAGCATTGCTGACTTGAAGTACTCACATATATTGAGCACCCATATTATCAAAGGATGAGTACAGAGGTTTCAGTTGCCAGACCAGGTTACTTCTGAAGTTGAATTAGGGAAAGGGCAACATTAAGATAGCAAATATCCTGGATATTGAATCTTGGAGGTGGGGAATTTCCAGCGATTCATTTTATCATGAATCTCCTCCTCCACAGGAGAACCAGAGTTCTTCCTGGAGAAGGCTTCCTTCAATATTATCCATGTTTTTCATGAAGACCTTCCCCTCTTCCCACTACTAGAGTATTCCAATAGCCCAGTGTTTCCCAAACTTGGCTATTTTAAGATGCATGGACTTCAATTCCCAGAATTCCCCAACCAGTATGCCTGGTTGAGGAATTCTGGGAGTTGAAGTCCATACATCTTCAAAGGGTCAAGTTTGGGAAACACTGCAATAGCCCATCAATTGCATATGGTTATATCCCTATTTTTTTAGACACTTTCCAAACACGAGGAAAACTTATATCAGTCATACAGAATTTTTACTTCTTTTGCAAAATAAATTATAATTAAAAGGTGGAGGGGAAAATAAAGGAAAACTACAGGAGGTTCAGAACCATGGCTCCCTTTTCTACTATGAACCCAGACTGACTTATAATTTATTATTTTATTTTATTTTATTAGATTTCTATACCGCCCTACTCCCGAAGGACTCAGGGCGGTGCACAGCCAAACAATAAAAACACATACATACAAAATTTAAAAATAAAATCAAATCAAATAATTTTGGCCCCGACAAATTTAAAACCCCAAACTTTTAAAACCAATTTAAAATTGAATATATAAAATACTAAAAGATATTTAAAATTTTAAAAATCTCTTATAAAAGAGGGGGAAAATTAGGCCAGGCCGGCCTGGTGAAATAGTAAGGTCTTTAAGGCACGGCGGAAGGTGTGCAGATCCGGGATCCTCCGTATCTCTGGGGGGAGCTCGTTCCAGATAGTAAATGCCCCCACAGAGAAGGCTCTCCCCCTGGGGGCCACCAGTCGGCATTGTTTGGCTGACGGCACCCGGAGGAGTCCCTCTCTATGGGAGCGTACCGGCCGGTGGGAGGCTATTGGTGGTAGTAGGCGGTCCCGCAAGTACCCAGGTCCTAAGCCATGGAGCGCTTTAAAGGTGGTAACCAGAACCTTGAAGCGCACTATAAGGTAGTGATTTCTTAGCTATGGAAAATCTTCCAGGTTATTCATAGGGTCATTCTACCTAGATCATATTTAATGTGTTTATATTAAATATATATATATTCATGTCACACCTAAGCTGCTATTGGAGAAGAGCAATGAACACATTTTCTAAATAAACTTGAATTATTACTGTGGTATGTTACATTAGTCCCAGTAATTGGAGAATATTATTTGTGTTGTGTGTTACATTATCCGTAGGTATGTTGGCAAAGAATACAAAGAAGAAAAAGAAATTATGTACCATTTCAATGATGTGGAACGGCAAATGACAGCTCAGTACTATGTGACAGAATTCAACAAAAGACTGTATGAGCAAAACATCCCTACACAAATCTTTTACATTCCATCAGTGGTACTCTTGGTAAGGAGAAAACAAAAGGCTATAAGGAATTCAGCAGAAGATAAGGGAGAAATGTCCTCATGAAAATAATGGACAGTATCTATATGGAAATACTATTCATACTGTAGCTCTCTTATTTTTTTGTCAGATACTAGAAGGCAAGTCTATCCAAGGATGTGTAACTGTGGAACCCTACATTCTAGGAGAATTTGTGAAGTTATCCAACAACACCAATGTAGTAAAATTGGAGTACAAAGCCACAGAATATGGACTTGCATATGGTCATTTCTGCTACGAATTTTCCCAAGGCACAGATGTGGTGGTCGATTTACAAGGTTTGTAAACATGCAGTTGTCATGTGGTGAAATCTAACATTTTATTAGACCAATGGGTTATTAAAAGCTGAAGTTTGGTTTGAACAGGCATACCTTCTTCATCATGTGACTATTTGGAGTTCTAATTTCAGTAGCCATAGAATGTTAAATAATTACATGGGACGAAGATGAGAGGAAGAAAAAAATGTTGGCAGGCAGAAGGGAGAATGGAATTAATGTATCTCAAAAGCAGCCAAACCGCAGCAAAAGTTTTAACTGATTGATTGGAAGATGCAAGTGATTAATGTCCATTTCACTTAAGCTATAAGAAATTTCTCATAAGTAGATCCCATAAATAATTTAGATGCCATTTGTCCTCATTTCTGAAAATAAGTCTGAAGACATTTTTCTACTAAAGTTATTATGGTGTCGTGGCTGTTCAATCAAAGGGATTAATGTTAGGAATCAACTCTGATTCAAAGACACTGACTATTTATTTGGTATGTTCAAAACAATATTGATTTCTGATACTTACATAGTTTTCTTGGCAAAATTTTTGAAGTGCTTGCTCTTGCCCTCTTCCTTTTTCTGGGAAAGAGTGAGTGGCCCAAGGTCACTCCATTGCCTTTGTGGAAAAAAGAAGAATTAAAACTCATAAAATCCCAATTTCTAGCCTTGAGGTCCTCTGCTTTGATCCAGTTGCAGAACCAATATTTACTGCTGAAATATTTTAGGAACATAGAATTAAAAGAGCATATAATTCTACTTCCGCTGTACTTCGTACTTTGAAACTGTTTTTAATTGTTACATTTTCGATAAATACACCTTTAATACTAAGGGACTAAGATAGATCTAGATTCAAATCCATCTTTAGCCATGGAAACTTGCTTGATGATGAAGCAAGTTACTCTTTCTTGGTGCAACCCACTTCACAAGGTGGTTGCCAGGGAAAATTGGATAAGGAAGTGCTATGTATACTACCAAATGGAATATAAATCTAATAAATAAAAGATTACAACTTTTAATCAGTGGAAGCATTTTCAAAGCTGCACAGTCACAAGTCATCATGTGTGAGTTGGGTGGCTATATAAATTTGTTTAATAAATAAAATATTTTTTTTGCATGTTCACTTTTACGTTTGCTTGGATTAGGAGAGTTTATATAATGCTTACATTAAGAAAATGACTTTTTGTTTTGTTTTGTTTTTTTCCTTTGGACAGGCTGGGTGACTGATAATGGAAAAGGCCTCATTTATCTTACTGATCCCCAGATCCATTCTGTCTCTAAGAAAGAAACATCAGGCCTTACAAACTTTGGAAAGAAAGGAATCTACTATTTCTTCAATAATCAGCATACAGAATGCAATGAAATCTGTTCCCGTCTTTCATTGACAAGACCTACAACAGAGAAACCAAAGTGATATTAGATGACCCCTTTACCCAAGAGTCAGTGGTGAAATCCAAATTTTTTTACTACCATGGCTATCAGGGCATGGCTTGGTGGCCGTGATGTGGCTTGGTGGGCATGGCAGGGGAAGGATACTGCAAAATCTCCATTCCCATCCACTCCAGGGGAAGGATACTTCAAAATCTTCATTCCCACCCCACTTCAGGGGAAGGATACTGCAAAATCCCCATTTCTTCCCCACTCCTGGGGGAAGGACACTGCAAAATCTCCATTCCCACCCCACTCCAGGGGAAGGATACTGCAAAATCTCCATTCCCACCCCAGTCTGGGACCAGCCAGAGGTGGCATTTGCCGGTTCTCCGAACTACTCAAAATTTCCTCTACCAGTTCTCCAGAACCTGTCAGAACCTGTTGTATTTCAAGAGTCCCTGCTGTGACTTTTCAACAAACATCTTTTCCTATTTTTTAATATCTGCACCATAATATCCAATTAAAATGTGTTATGTGCGTTCTGATATCAAAAGTTCATTCTGTAATAAGGTCGAGGTATTACTCATAAGGAGAGACCTTGCATTTAGTTGCTTCTTTTGTATCTTACTCTTTGTACAATTGCAGTGTTGTATGCACAGAAGTGTTGTTCTAACTACAGAAATACCGGTAGCTCTGTGCTTCAGCATCATACAAATTAGTCATTGAAAGTCGGTACTGATAAAAGACAGTCTATACACCACCGAATCTTATCTGGAAATGATTATTAATGCAACTGAGCAAAGCTAAATAGGCTTGGTAAGGCTCTCAGCTCAGCCAGCACGCATGTTCTTTATGTCATGCATTTTAAGTACATTTTTTTCCAAAAGACTGCATTTCTCCTTTCTTGTATTAATACTGCAACACAAATAAACTAGCTGAGCATTGTTAAATTCATTAGTCACCAGATTTCAACAACTGCTTAGATTTATATATTAAGTGAGAGCTCTGCTTTGAACTTGAGCCATGGACCCTGATTCATTTTCAACTTATTATCCAGGGACCAACAAGGAACACATGATAATAGGTGCCCACATGTTAAAAACAATACTTCGTATTATAGTCATGGAATCAAGGTGATCCAAAAAAGTTCACAAGGAAGAAGGAAAATTTTTTTCCAGTTGTGATAATCATGGATGTTATAGGTCATGATCTAATCCTGTATCCTGATGTTTCTTCAAGTGTCTGGCATCTTCATAGGTACAAATTATATCCTTCTTGAAAGCTAACAAATCAAAACAAAAATAACTTCATAAGAACCTAAACACCACCAATTCCACCCTAAAATATTGAAGCAACAAAAAAATAATTAAAAGCAATTAAAAAGCCCTACATTTAACTTTTCTTAAAAGGTCAGTGTGTCAAAAATCTGCAATATTATCTTTAATGCCAGTCTCACATTTGTGACAGAGAAAGATGCAATCCATAAAACTATTTAAGCCTGGTCTTAATTTATTCAATAGTGTTTATTAAAGAATGTACAGTCCTAGACCAAACCTTAAAATAAAACATTGAATAAAAAATAAATATATAATAATGTTAGTTAATAATTCAAAATAAAAATATAATTGTGGAAAGATCTTGGATTTAAGGAGCTTAATGGTATATGAACTTGTTATGTATGTATGTTTGGACATGTATGTGTTTAATGTGTAATTAAAATAGTCCATCTCAGTGAAGACTTCACTTGGAAAAACAGTACGATCCAGGTGGCCAGGAATGCCCAACAGAGACTCCATTTCCTTAGGGTCTTGTGTAAAAACAGGGTGGGACAACATCTGATGACCTCCTTTTACCAGTCCACAATAGAAAGTGTCCTCACTTATTGCATCACGGTATGGCATGCTGGTCTGACAGCCGCGGATAGAAAAACATTACAGAGGGTGGTGAGTACAGCACAAAACATTGTGGGCTGTCCCCTGATACCACTAGACGAGATCGCTAGGGCTCACTGCCTTAGAAGAGTGAGGAAAATCTTCAGGGATAACTCTCGCCCTGGTCATCACTTCTTTACCCTCCTACCATCGGGAAGGAGATGTAGAAGTATAGCCAACTGCACAAACAGGCTGAAGAACAGTTTTTATCCATGGGCTGTCAGACTCCTGAATGAGAAATAACATCGTAACTACGTAGTATGATGGACTGCAGGGCCGGCACAATGTGTAACATGTTCACACTGGTGCAATAGGACTGGGTGTTTTGTTAATATTATTTATTGGGTTAGGGATTTTCTATCTTCACTGTTGAGTTGTATTGTGTTGGGGGGGTGCACTGAGGGAGCTCAACCAATCTCATTGTACAGATGTTGTGCACTGACAATAAAGATTTGAAATTAGAATTATTAGATTGCTAAACTGATGCAAAGCCATACGAGCAGGAATAAATGGAGATTCTCCCAAAACAAATGAAAGCATAAATGTCCTGGGGTGCAACTACCCAAAATCATTTTGAAATGCATTGGGAGGCTAAGTGCATAATAAAATTCACCTTTGTTTTAGCAAACATTCTTTGCAGCCACTGGGCCTTAACTTTCTGTGCTGGTTTCCTAATCTTAATTTTAAAACTCAGAGCTCTTTTCCCAGAGCTATTCCTGAATCAAGCGGTCCCTCATTCTGTTACATTGGCCAATGATACTGCCATTGATCCTGGAACAGAGGGTGTTGCTCACAGCTATCTAATATATTCAGGCTGCTTCTGGTTGGACACTCATCCTCTTTGAATGTTTTGTAGTATGTATGCTGTTCTTGCACTGGGTAAAAGCAGCTGTTACCTTTTATTCTTTCTATCTATCTTTCCTTCTTTCTTTCTGTTTATGAAGCAATCTTTTGTGTTTTTTGATCAAAGCTTATAATTCATGGATGTGACCTTCCTGGACTTTTGTCAGCTACCACCTGGAGGACTTTAAAAAGAAGCAATAGAGGAATTGCATCGTTTCGTTTCCTAAATATTCATATGGGAATATTTTTATTCCCATCTGAACAGTATGATAACAGTAATACACATTTTCCTGTACAAAACCCATTAGCTGTTACATGGTTCCCCTTCATTTTTTAAAGTTGGTGGAGGAGAATGTCTAAATCACTGTGGTTCTCAACCCTTTTTCCCCTTTAAAAGTAGTAATTACCTTTGTAGCTTTCCTAATGTTAAACAATGGTGGGATCTCAGCTATAGAGCAGACATCTGTTTTGTACCACCCTGTGTGATATGGATTTCTTTGAGTGCACCAATTCACATGACCCTGGAATCCCTAACAAAATGTTAGTTGATAATTTTCAGACTGAAAATTAGATCAGCATTTGGCTGGTTGTTTCATCACACACCCATTTATTTAAAAAAATATTTAGAATCTCATTTAGATGGGTGATGCCTGATTTGATATGGATGTACATTAAAGCAGTGATGCTCACAAGGCAGAATTTTGGGGCAGATGTCTAAGGCCCAATTAAACAGGAAGATTTCCACCAGGATCAATTTAACATATTTAGATGATGTAGTATACTTTTCTATCCAACATAAAGATATTAAATCTTTAGTCTAACTGCACGGCTAAGAATAAGGCAAGATCTAGACTTAAAATGGCACTGATGATAGTGGAAGAATATTGATTTTTTTCATAGGTGGATGGAAGGGAAAAGTGAAAGAAGTTAAAGAGAAAGTAATATAGTTAATGAAATTTTAAAATGCTTAAGGAATAGTATGGAAATTTAAAAAGTAGAAGAGTGAACTTGAAAGCAGCTAAAGAAACCAGGGCTGTCAGATCGAAAAAAGTCAAGATTCGATGGCAGCATATAGTGAGCTTGGCAGGGGAATTCAGGGTCTGTGGCTAATTTCCAGGCCTGAGAGGCAAGACAAGCAAAGCAGAGAGGAGCAATTTCTGGATGACTGGCTTCTCTGGTGCAGAAGCAACTTCTGGATTACTGGCTTCTCCGGTGCAGAAGCAACTTCTGGATTACTGGCTTCTCCGGTGCTGCTGTGCGGCAGAACATCTTCTGCAATGGAGATAGCATCTGCTGTTTGGGGTAAGACGTTTCAGAAAAAAAGATAACACTGGCTTCATTGACCAGATATATCCACAAACAAGGACAAGCTAAGTTTGTTATTGATCTATTGTCCTCTGTTGCAAGAAATATATTTACTGGAGTTTCTGGCTCTCAGGTGCTGGGGAACTTCAACTTACCATCCTGATTATGATGGCAGCCCAGCAATTCACAACCAAATGATGTCCCAGTTACAGTGGACTAACACATATAGGTGCCAATCTGTGTTGTTGCAAATGAACTCCTTAGAGGGCACAACTCAGTAACTTATTTTTTTATTTTATTTTATTTTATTGCAATTTATATGCTGCCCTTCTCCCGAAGGACTCAGGGCAGCTTACAAGATAAAAATTCAACAATATGAATTAAATATAAATTAAAATCCAATTAAAATTAATTAAAATTATTACAATGTAAAAACCCCCCTCAACGGGTCAGTCCATTTGATGAAAAAGCCACCTCTTCAATTCGCGGTGGAAAGAAAGGAGGTCGGGGGCTGTCCTAAGCCCGGTGGGCAAACCGTTCTAGAGGGTTGGCGCTCCCACAGAGAACGCTCTCCCCCTGGGGGCCGCCAGCCAACATTGTCTGACTGACAGCACCCTGAGAAGGCCCGCTCTGTGAGAGCGCACAGGACGATGGGAGGATGGCAGAAGATGGTCCTGCAAGTACCCCGGGCCTAAGCCATGTACCCCGGGCCTATCCCACTCATTATTCTCTGAATCTGAGTTCTAGTACTTGTCAAATATCAGGTATATATATATTGGCTTAGTTCTAGGCTTTCTACATTATGTGTTACAACTCAGTATTATGTGCCAGGTCTGCCATTCCCTTACGTAATGTTTTACATGCAGATTATACCTATATACTTGTTGTAAATGATCTATTGTAGAGATAATTTATAACTGTCTTGCTATTTAAGTAGAAAACAGGAATATTTTCTGAACACAGCAGCTTTTTAATAAACTTCCTTGAGCTATTTTTTATGAAGGTATGGTGATGGTATCTTTTTAAAATATGTATAAATATCTGGGTTATTTTGAGATAGATCAGGAATATTTCATAAAAGAATTCATGATTTCCGCAAAGTTTAGCTTAAGGAAGAGGAAATGGCTTTGTCTGTCAAACTAGAGAGAGTTCAGATTTTGTACAGCAGCTTCTTTATCCTCCTTTTGTCACCTATATGATGCTTGTGCTGCATTGTTTGAGTACATAAATGTTCTGTCACAGTCCAGAGCTAGAGAAGAAATTAGGTAGTAAGAGTAAAAAGCGGGAGAAAGAAAGGAGGAGAAAATTAAATCTCTTTTAAAGCTCTGTGCAAAATCTTCAGTGTTGGGACTTTTGCAGCTGCACAAGAAGAAAATGCATTCAAAAATATAATGCCAGTGTGAATAATCCTTTTCTAGAGTCTTGCTCGCAGACTGCTCAAGCTTTGTAAGGTGAACTTGAACTGGGTCATCAGCCTTGCTTTGGTTCCCATTGGTTCCCATCACCCGAGGGCATTCAGCATCTTGACTGTGTTAAAAAGAGAGCAAACAATCCATCAGCTATCCCAGAGCTGCTTTCTCAAAGAAAAGGAAAATCAGCATGTGACAGTACATTTGGCTGTGGGGTTTTGCAGATTAAAAGGATACATGACAGCTCACGTGTTCCTAGGAAGATTACGCCAGTTCTTTTTCACAACTAAGAAAGACAGACACCTATCTACTCTCAAAAAATTTAACCAAGGGACCAGGGCTCTATCTACAGAAGGATGGTACTCATACTCTTTCAAGTCATTTTGTGAAGCTAAAATAGAGTAGCTTTGATTTTATTTTCTCTGCTTGCATGTTGATAATGTTTGCTTAACAATTTCAAATAAGCATAGTTTAGTAGATATAATCAATTTAGAGCAGTGTATCCCAAAAGAGTTTTATAAAGTGCAAAGGTTTACTATAATCGTTAAATAAATGTTCATGCACCTATGGAGTCTGGCCCAATTGGGATTTCTAAGCATCAGTATACAGGTCTACATCAGTGGTGGGTTGCTACTGGTTTGCCCAATCCGGGATGAACCAGTATTGGGTGAACCAGTATCGGCGGTAGCAGGAAGCTCCACCCACTTGTCCAGATGTCTCTGCTCATGCGCAAGTGCGTAAGCACCCATGAGCAAACCAGTAGCAGCCAAAATTGAAACCCATTACTAGTCTACATATAGTCAACAGGACAATACATGGAATGGACTATACATTGCAGTAAGCCATGTTTTTTTCCTATGTCTTATTGCTAACCATTGACTTAGTTTGCATATCCCATTAAGCCAAAATCAATGTCATTTCTTACTGTGCCTTAGGTCTAACTGCAGTGCATGAACCTAGTCATTGTTTTCTTTGCATTTTGAAAATGAGGAACTATCTGAATAAGCTGTAAGCATCAATATTACATAGTCCTTCTCAAATAGTTGTACCCCATTTTTTTATATTCTTCAGGTTCATATTCTTTGTTGGCTACACATTCTTTATAATTGAATCTTAAAAATACTATTTAATTAACTAGCTATTAAACTATGACAGTTTCACAAAGCAAAAGATTTCTATAATTTGAAGAGAAATCATAGTATGGATAGATAGATAGATAGATAGATAGATAGATAGATAGATAGATAGATAGATAGTGATTAGATATAGATAGATATAGATAGATATATGAGACACACACACACACAGAGAGAGAGAGAGAGAGAGAGAGAGAAATGAAAAACTAACTATTCGTATGATTCATCCACCAAATTAAGAAAGAATAAACAAATGCCTTTTGTGTCTGTTGAAATCTAATAAGGGTGAGACTAAATTGAGTTTGGTAAAAATGTAGCACTGGCACTAGCGCTTAGACTTATATACCCTGTCATAGTGCTTTACAGCACTTTCTGAGCAGTTTACAAATGTCACATATTGCCCCCAATAATCTGAGTCCTCAGTTTACCAACCTCAGAAAGATGGAAGGCTGAGGCAACCTGGAGTGGGTCGGGATTGAATTCCTGGCTGTGGCAGAGTTAGCCTGCAATACTGCATTCTAACATCGCACCACCAGCAGTTTTGTATCCTCTACATGCAGGAAACAATAATGCCATGGAGAAAATTTCAGTTCCACCCACTCTGATGACATGACACCCACTGTATGTCCCCCAATACAGAGGCCAAGAGAGTGCAAATGGTTGCCCATCTCTGCTGTAAGAGAAGAAGTGTGTTCCTACAATCCTACATTCTGGGACAATTGTAGGATTCTGGGTGTGTATTGGACAGTGCTACCTGTTAAGGATATTGTT